GGGATCAGAGTATTCACCTGCAGGCACGCACACACACACACACACAGAGAGAGAGAGAGAGAGAGAGAGAGAGAGCTCTGTTTCCACTCTGTTCCTAAGCAGATAAAATTTAAAAAAGAAAGAAAGCATCAGCTGCAAGTAAAATTAAGCCTGTGTGCACTTCTTTGTGCTCAGTACTCACTGTCAGTTTCATCCACTACAGCTGGCTGGTCAGTCCTCCTCTCTACAGCTGCAGTCAGTCAGTCTCAAGGACAAACTCCAGCTCTCCTCGCCTCCGGTCTCTGTAGCTCAGCGATGCAGCAGCACACACACAATTCATAAACACACACACACACACACACACCCTCTCTCTCCCTCACTTCTTCCTTCCTCTCAGCATCTCCCTCTGATCCAGTGTTGAGTTTACCTGCCTGGCGTGCTCACAGGGGAGTCCTGAGAGTGTGTGTCAGGCAGAAAGTGTGTCTAAGAGAGAAAGAGAGAGAGAGGGGGTGAGGTAAGGGAGGACCAAACCAGCGCTCCCCATAAATGCAGAGGGAGGTGGTGAGCTGGAGGAAGGGTAGAGGACACACAGCACTCCTGAATTCCCATAGATACAGAGGAGGGTTTTCTGTTGCAGCCATGCTAAAGAAAGGAGGCAGGCGATGCACGGGTCATATTTCAGGGAGGTTGAGTCAGCACGTGAATATGATGCGTGCCGAGGACAGAAGCTGGACATACAGTATTTTAGAGATGTTCTTAAATGAGCCGTTATGGATTGTCTTGGTCAGAAAGGAGCRGCGAGACCGAGCTTTCAGGAAGCAAACTGCACTGAGAAGTTCCCCTGAAGGACACGGTTCAAGTCTGAAACTGGATTCAAGCACAGATTAATACTTAAAAATGTCAAGATTCATGGCTACAGATTAAAATGTGGCTTATGAGTCTAAATTAGCCAAAGCAACAAAACAGCTGACATCATGGATTAATACATTTATAGTTAGACAAAGAGTGATTTAAGCAGAAATAATATGTAATTTAAGATTTAATACAGCCTATATTCAGTACTATAATGCAAGGCTCATTCCATTTAAATGTAACACTTTATTGCTCTCTGCAGCGATAATKTAAATGCTTTTTGTCTGTCTTTGACCAAAATGTCTCATAGAGGATGGATTTTAATGAAACTTGCTGAAAGTATAATCAATGGATTTACATCTACAATGTATTTAGATTTCTTTTCTTCCATACATTTCTCAGTACATATATTGTTCTGTAATTTTTTTTCTTGTTTTGCTGTACAATTTATACATCAAAGTTTCAGCTCCTTCAGGACATTCCACCTATGACTTTTGGAATTTCAGCAATTTATACTTTTTGAAATATAAAATTTTTGGCAGCCTTTTCATTTTTCAGCCCAAAATATCCAGTTCAGTGATAGTAAGGTTTGAATAAATTACACAGCGGGTAAAATAAGTATTGAACATGTCAACATTTTTCTCAGTAAATATATTACTAGAGGAGCTAATGACATGAAATTTTCACCAGATGTTGGTAACAACCCAAGTGATCCATACATATAAAGAAATCAAACCATAAATGTCCAGAAATGAAGGTATTTTGTAATAATGTGGAATGGCACAGGGAAAAAGTATTGAGCACATGAAGAAAGGG